TTTAATTTAGTTATGATAGTTTAGTTATGATGTAAATAGAATAAAAATTAAACCAAGATTTATAGTACTTATCATTTTGATCCATACATTGGTAAGGGCTGACTGGGCCTCGTGCCACTTTATGTTCAATAAATTGGGCCCCGAGGTCAGAAAGGTTAAGAACCCCTGATTTAGACAATACAAAATGTTCTTCATCTTTATTTACTGACGTGGAAAACAGAACAGGCCCAGTTATTGAGTTTTATGTAAACAGACTTGGTCTTTATCAGGTTATAAAAACATTCAGCTTGATCTCAAATGTTCTTCTCCTAAATCCTGTGTGAAGGTGGGACTTTTACACAGTTTTACATTTTTTGCCTCATTTTGGTTTGATAAATAAAAGCATGATGTGTTTTTGTARATTTGAGGTTATATTAGTAGAGTTTACAGAGGGAGTCTGTTGGGATGAGGTTTTTCTGTGAACATTTGAGGTCACCTGGTGAAAAAGAAGTAACCTTCCTTCTRTGAAATATGTGTCTGTAGCAGTTTAGGGTGAGGAGATGAGCTGACGAATAACTGAAGAGGGCATTCTACACCCCATCAGAACAGGAAGGAAGACATCCATCCTTGAAGCTGTAGAAAAGACAGATTAAAATAATAACTCAGGGATTACCAGTATGACAGAATAGAGTTTCTTCATCTCCTCGCATGTCTTCATCAGAGKGTTGAGCTCAGCGTTGTACTTCTCTGTTGCTGCCTGGAAAACAGAGAAACGCAGAAAGTAGCTCTTCAGTTTGTTCAGCCTCACTCAGATCAACTTTAAACTGGGAGGATAACCTACAAATATTTTTTTTCATTAATTGTTCTGCTTTTCCTGAGCTTTCTGCTCTGCACACAAATCTAAACCAACAAAACTCAGTGTGTGTTCCTGATTTATARAGTGTGACAGCAGGCCTGGTCCACTGAAACATGACAGAAGCAGCCAGTGATACTTAAGTTTGTTTGAGTCTCCCTGCAGAAATTATTCAGAGCAGTTTTAAAGTTTTAACACTGATCTTCATGTCTCTGTTCACAGCCACAGACAGCAGTGCTGATGAGATAATGTAACTTCTGTCCAAACTCACACTAACTTCAACCTGTCGGCGAAAACAGCTGCAAGAAAACAGTTTTATTTTTCTATTCAGGGTCTGACATACACAACTTTCCTTCAAGATTAGAGAAAACAACAAGTCAGAATGGTCAAAATGAAATTTTTATCGCAATATAACCTTTCTAATGTTGTATAAGARAAAACATCTCACTTGTGATTCAGGTGATTTTTTATAGAACCGACCTGCCACTGGTGGAGTTTAGTCGACGTCCAGAAATGAGACAAAAACAGATTATTTGTTTCAATGTCACTGAGTTCTGAGTGGCTGCTTAATGAAAATCATTGGGCCTCATGCAAGAACCGTTGGTACGCACAGATTTGTTCTTAAGTTGTGCGTACGAGTGA